CATGTATGATATGTATTTATTTATATGTATGTTGTGTCTGGTATAGTATAAAATAGAATTTGTTTAGTTTTGTTATTTTGTTTGTTTGTTTTGTTGTTTTTTGTTTTCATCTCCTCGTTGGTTTTTTGTTTTTATTTTCTTTTTTTTCTTCTCCTTTTGTTTGGGGGGGCAAACAAATTTATATTTATTTAATTTGTCTTCTCGTTAATTTAATTAAATAAAAATATTTAATATCTCACTAGGGTTTAGGGTTTAGGGTTTAGTTTATACCAAACCCTAAACCCTAAACCCTAGTTTAGGGTTTAGGGTTTAGGGTTTAGGGTTTGGTATTAACAGCGGAGCTCCATACTTTAGGGTTTAGGGTTTAGGGTTTAGGGTTTAGGGTTTGTGGTAGTATGGCCTATAGCTGCAGACTTCCACCATTGTAGATGCTTCCTCTCTTTTTGTATTTATTCTTTTTATATTTAGGGTTTAGGGTTTAGGGTTTAGAGTTTAGGGTTTAGGGTTTAGGGTTTAGGGTTTAGGGTTTAGTTGGTGTATGTTGTTTGGCTCTATTAAAGCTGATGATAAACACAATTTAAATAAAAAAAAGGAGACAAAGAAATACAGAAAAAGACAAACAAATGAATGCATACAAATATATGCATAGAGAAACCTAAACACACATATAAACGGATGTGTATACGGTGTATATACACTATACATATATCAATATATATAAAAAGGTTATTCAAATGCCTTATAATTACGTTTCAATATATATATATATATATATATATTATATAGAATTAAGAAAAAAAAAATATGTATATATATATATATATATATATATATATTTATATCTGTAGTTAGTATATATGTAAAAGTATATAAATACATGTATGTGTGTGTGTGTATGTGCTGCACACACATACGGGCTGCGGTTGGAGTGTCACTGGTTGTCTTAACCAATAAGTAGATTTTGTGTTTGTTTTTTTATTTATTTTAATTAAAAATTAATAAAATAATATAATTTTAATATTTTTATTTATAATAAATCAACGAATATGCGTGCCTGCAGCTGCTGCTGATGCACCGACCCGGTGGCATATGAAGCGAAGCCAAGCGGCTGTATCTGTAGCAGCAGAAACCGAGTGTACAAGTAACCAGTATAAAATAAATAAATAAATAAAAATAAATATAATTAAAATAAAATATTATATTATGAATTTTTCAAATATATTTATTGATGTAAGATATACTAAAGAGATGAATATATACACCCCGCCAGTCAACTAGGATCCTGTTTTGTGTTGCTTTGTATGTGTTTGTTCTTTATGTAGCTCTCTTTATGATTTAAATATTTTTATTTTATTTATTTTATTAAATTCTCCCCAAAAAACTTTTTCTTTTCATCTCTCTTTTCCTAGCATGGACAACGCATCCTCGGGTGTACATACACCCGACGGCTCCACCACCGCGCCGGACCAGCCCACAGCCTCATCACCTCCCACTTCTTCTTCTTCTTCTTCTTCTTCTTCTCCTCCTCCTCTGGCCTCGCCGCGGCCTCTGCGCCCCTCCTCCCCCGCCAGCTCTTGCGACTCCCCCCAGCATTCTCTTACCTCTGTCGCGGTGGCTCTGTATAAAGCAGGTGCAGCTTGGTTTATCCTCAACCCTACAAAACCCTAAACCCTAAACCCTAAACCCTAAACCCTAAACCCTAGATCCTAACAACTCGTAGCATTGACGGACGCTGGCCGTGTTTGTGTGTATTGTGTTGTACTTTGTTTCTATAGAGTCGAAATAAATATATTTAATTAATTTTTATTTGTTTAGTTTTATTTATTTATTTATTTATTTTTTGTTTAGGGTTGCAGTTTGAAAATCAGGGCAGATTGGCGGGTGCTATTGGGCTGTATAGACAGGCGATAAAGCTTGACCCTGGCCTGGATAGAGGCCTCATAACATTGCGAGAAGAAGAAGAAGAACAATATAAAAACAAAGAAATAGAAAATATATATAATAATTATAATACACACCAAGACGATACAGACGCTCAGTATGATGCTGAGGCAGATGTACACGTCAATAAAGCCAAACCAAATGCAACACGCACATGGGATGCAGTTAAACTTGTTGCTGCAGCAGACGCATCCTGCTGCTGCTCCTGCAGCAGCAGCAGCAGCAGCAGCAGCAACAGCAGCAGCAGCAGCAGGTGCAGGAGGTGCTGTGGGGACTCACTGAAGCGCGTTGACAACGAGGCGGCAGCATCAGGAGGGGCGGCAGCATCATCTTCCGCATCATCATCATCAGCAGCAGCAGCAGCAGCAGCAGCAGCAGGAGATACAGCAGCAGCAGCAGCAGCAGCAGCAGCACCAGTGAAGCCTGGCCCCATAATGAATGTACCTGAGGCTGTGTTGACTCGTGTGCTTCTCTTCCTCGACGTCTACGCGCTAGCCAAGTCTGTCTCCTTTCTCCTCTCCTCATCCCCCTTGCTGCTTATCTCCCTATAGGTAGCTAGCTAGCTACAGCTAGCTAGCTAGCTAGCTAGCTAGCTAGCCGGTTATATGCTGCCGCTGGCTACCTATGTATAGTAGCTAGCTAGCTAGCTAGCTGGTTATATCAGCTAGATAGCTAGCTGTAGCTATCCAGCTCGTTCTATAACTTTCAATGATCTATCTATCTCCCCCCCTA